GGGGAGGGGGAGCAGAGCAGCGATACTGTGAAAGTCAGAACAGGCAGGCATCCGGAGGGTCCCAGGTCCCACAAGCAGAAGCCAAGGAGAGGCTTCCTGGCCGCCCCACTGGTCTCTCACTGAGGGGTCCCCGAGGCACAGAGGGCTCAGGACGAGATACCTAAGGAGGCTTTCTGAGAATCGGGTGCAAGGCTGGGCCTCAGGAAGCCCTCTGAACAGCCCCAGCCCGGCCTGAGGCCCCCTGTCAGGCACTCTTGCCCAGTTGTTCATGAGGTACGGCACCCCCGTGTGCTAGGCCTGCAGTTCACCACCCTGTACTTGGGCCAAATCTGAGCCCGGTAGGCCAGGTGCAGAGTTAAATGTGGAACCAGAGGCAAAATGGAAGGCCCAGGTCTATAGGGGCTGTAGCAGCAGCTAATACCTACTGAGCACTTAGTGGGTGCCCACCACTTTCTGTTCCACTATGAGCACTTTCCCGAGTATTAACCCCCAGGATGACTGTGAGGTATAACTTAACACATGACAAGTGCTCAGAACAAGTCCCGGAAGACTTTACTACTATTTTTATTACTACGGTGATCTCTATAAGCCTCACAATAACCCTGTGAAATAGGTCCTGGGGTTATCCTTGTCACTTAGACGAGAAATGGAAAGAGGGAAGCGGGAGTAACTTGCCCAAGGTCACACAGCTAGTGAGGGGCAGGGCTAGAAATAGGACCCAGGCAGTGTGGCTCCAAAGTCCACGCTCAGTGCCACCACACAAAATTGCCTCTCTCAGCACTGGGGGGGTGGGAGGGGACCCTGTAGCCATTCGGGCCTGAGCTGTGCTCAGAAGAGGGGCCCGTGCACAAAAGAAAAGCAGCAAAGTGGGCCCGGAAAGGGAAGCCGAACTCCTCTAGGCAGAGAGGCCGCGCTGGGGAAGTATGCGGGCCTGGCGTTCACTGAGCCAGTTTTTGCCGCTGTACGTGCACCTGGGACCCCTCAAAGCTGTGAGTTTGAGGCTCAGCCGGCTGTGCCCACACCGGGGCCTCTAGGGTACACGGGGAGAGAGAAAGTGGCTGCATCTCTGGTGAGGCCTCCCTCTCTCCAACCAGAGGCCTGGCTTTGTGCATCCTGGTCCTCCCATCTGACCCAGGGCATCCGAGCTGCTGCCTCAAGGCCTTCGGGGACAGAAGGGAGGGAGACCCCCAGGGCTGGCACGCCAGGAACGTGCCTTTGCTCAGCCCCAGCGAGTGAACCATCAGACTTCTCCAGCAAGCAACAGCCCAGTGGTGGAGGCTGAACACTGCCAGAGACAAGACCCCCAGGCAGGTGTGTGTGAGTTGGCAAGGGTAGGAGGTGACAGGGATAGGGGAAAGGGGCCTGATGGACAGCAGCCATGTGGGACCCAATCCAAAACAGGAGTGGGGGATGGGGGAGGGGCCAGTGAGCAGGCTCACTTCATATTTCTGCTGCTTGAACTTCTCCTGCAGGTCGAACTTCTCTGCCTCCAGGTTATAGATGCTCTGCCATAGTTCCTTGGCCTTCTCCCTGCAGGGGCCAGAGTGGGGATGCAGGGCGGGATAGGAACATTAAGGAATGGCCCTCATCCACCTTCATCCTGGATCTGACCCAGCCTCCAAGGGCACCAGCCCTCCTTCCCACCTCCAGGCCTGCTAAGGGGACCCCCCCAGCCCACCTGACTCAGCAGGAGGCAGAGACAGCAGCACCTGGTGCTTAGGACCGGATGTGGGGTGGGGGGTGGCGCGGCGCGGGTGGGGCATCATTCAATCCCCCTTCCCGCCACCTGGGTGCAGGTGGGTAAGAAGCTCAGAGGGGCGAGACGCCTGCTCAAGTTCTCCTTCTCTATTGGCAAAGCACAAAGATGGCTTGACTGGCTCACACCCAACTCCAGTGGCACCAAAACATTCTTGGCGGGGGCGGGGGCCGGACTATGTGAGGCAACAGCGCCCCCTGGTGGTGCACGATGAGAGTTGCCCTATGCCCCGACCCCCGTGCTGGCGCAGGTGCACGCAGTCAGCTGAGCACCACCAGTCCCCACCTCAGCTGATCTTCATTCAGGTGGTCAATGGCCAGCACCTTCCTCCTCTCGGCCAGAATCTTCTTCTTCTTTTCCCGCTCCGTCTGCCTCTTCCCGCTTTTCCGCTCCGTCTGGAGAGAATGACAAGCAGGGGGAGTTAACTAGGGAACACCCCCTCCTTTCCCCTAACCCTCCCAAAACCCAATGGGGAGCAAGGCAAAGCCTGCAGAAGGACCAGGTTCTTATCCTCTTCTTCCTGAAACACCCACGCTATCAGCTGCCTGGATTTCCTCTCCCCCCCCCCCAAGAAACTGAGGCAGGGGCGAGGAGGACCTTTTCAGTCCATTATTTCTTTGCCTTTCCAAATTCTTCCATCTCTCTCCCGGCTCCCTCCTCCCGCCCGACCCATTCTCCACACTCAGCATCCCCCTCCCAGCGAGCCCCCCAAAACGATGAGGAGGACAAGGGTTAGAGGTTGTGGTACCCACCTGGGCCTGCAAAGCCAGGACACCATGAGAGAAAGACCCAGAGAGAAAGACCGAGACCAGGGCAGAGATAGAGAGAGAGGGCAGGGCACGGCAAAGGCGGAGAGACACAAGGGGGAGAAGGAGAAGGTGATTCAGACGTCATTGCAGGCAACCTTGTTCACTAGGACTATTCTGAGAGCAGGGCCATGCCATAAGTCTGGCTGGTGTGGTCACTGTGGCGACAGAGGCAGGCAGGCCGGGCTAGCTCTGAGCTGGGGGACTCTGGAAATCTAAGAAAATGTTCTGATCCCTCCACTGCACAGAGAAAATCAGTTTCATATTTCCTCTTCTCCCTTGAGAATGGAGTGTCGAGCAGGAGTGGGACACAAAAATGAGGAATGGAGGAGGTTTGCAGGAATAAACCATCTCACATCTGCGGGATACACAGATGCTCACCATGTTAGCCCATCTGATCTCAGAGCAGGCAGGGCAGACGATATTAAACCCATTTTACAGATGAGGAAACTGAGGCTCTGAGGTTGCCTGAGGCCACACAACTGTAAGTGGCAGGTCTGAGTCTCCAACCAGAGCTCTGACTCTGGGCACAAGGCTCTTCCAGACACACCATCAACCTTGGGGGCTCCCGGGGCACTGCTGACACTCGAGGCCGCTGCCTGCAGCCCCCCCTCCAGCAAGCCCCTCTTAGGGGAAGCCACAGCAGGCGGAGCGCCAGCTCAGGGCATGGGCAGGAAGCAGCCTTGGCCTTTCACTTACAGGTAGGAATTTCTTCCTGGGATCCAGCTTGAAGTCTGTGGACACCCCCTTCCTCCCCATATACCGGGACCCCCCGAAGACCACTGCTGCTGCCCGACCTACCTTCTGGATGTAACCCCCAAAGTGCATCATGTTGGACAAAGCCTTCTTCTTCCGGGCCTCGTCCTCAGCCTTTCTCCTGTTCTCCTCCTCCTCCCGTCGGGCTCTCTCTTCCTGATTTTCAGCGGGGAGGAAGAGAGAAAATCAGGGGTGAGGGTATGAACCCCTGAGGCTGGGCTGAGGTCTGGGGTGTTTATGGGTCACGTGAGTAGAACTTTTCTCTCCATCAGGCAAGAAGCTTCCTGAGGGGCCCCCCAGCACAGGGCCTGACACACAAGAGCTACGGAAGACTTTTGTTTATGAATGAGTGAAGAATGATCTCACCATCCCCTCAGGCAAGGAGCCCCCCCACCCCCACCCCAGGAGGCCTGCTGTTCTGGAAGAACCTCCAGCAGCAGCACAGGAAAAGGGCCAAGGGACCCCCTGTTCCCAGGGAGCCCGCACCAGGGAAGGGACGCGGCAGGAGAGGACTTCGCTGCCTTATAATGGAAGTTTGTACCTTTTGGCCCCTTCCTACCCCCCACTCCCTCCGCCTCTGGCAACCACCAATCTGTTCTCTGCATCTATGAGCTTGGCGTTTTGGTTTTGCTTTGGATTGGCTGTGTTTCAGATTCCACATATAAGTGAAACTAGACAGTATTTTTCTTTCTCTGAATTGTTTCACTTAGCATAATGCTCTCTCCAGGTCCATCCATGTTTTCACAAATGGCAAGATTCCCTTCCTTTTTTATGGCTAATATTCCAGTGGGGGGGGGGGCTGCGTGTGCATGAGCATGCACACACACATATTTTTATGCCTTCCTTCATTGGCAGGCACATGTTTCCTCCGTGTCTTAGCTCCTGTAAATAATGCCACAGTGAATGGAGCGCAGATGCCTTTTTGAATCAGTGTTTGCATCTTCTTCGGGTAAATACCCAGAAGTGGAACTGCTGGACAGAGAGTCTTGTAAAATATTAAGTTCGTGAAAACCCAGACATTTCGGTCTCAGTTACTGCTTATTATCAGATTCCAAACAGTGCCCGGCACTCACCAGGGGCTCGTTGACTGAATCAATGTGAATGACTAGGGAGGGGCCTGGGGGCCTGGAAGGAGCTGGGGGCCCGCTGGGGGCTTCTGTGGGCCGTGGACTAGGGGTCACTCACTGCCAGGCGAGTCTGACGTTCCTTCTCCCGCTCATTCCGGATGCGCTGCTGCTCGGCCCGCTCAGCCCGTCGCTTCTCCTATGGGGAGAGGGTCACAGACTGCCCAGTGCGTGCATATGGAGGAGGTGTCCCCAAAGGTGCAGGGACCAACCAGGGAAAGAGGTGGCAAGAAAACGCACAGGGGATTTTCCCCTCGGGAGCTCAGGGCAGTGAGTGCCCTTCCTCCAAGGGCTTCTACTCTGCCAGCTCCCTGGACACAGAGCGCCTCGACAGGTGCACCAGCTCAGAATGCCCTGGCTGAATAAAGATAGCCCACAGCAGGCGTGTGCGGATGCCCCACGCGGAGCATTACTCATCGTGGGGTTGTCCTCAACGATTTGAAAAATGTCAGGCGGACTTCTCCCGTCTCCCACAAGTGCTGTGCCCCTGGCCCCGCCCCGGCCCCAGCCCCAGCAGCTGCTCTTGTGTTCGCGGACAGATGGCCAGACCCTCAGCTGCCAGCCAGGGCGGCACAGCGGTGCCACAAACACAGCAGCGAGTCTGGTGGAGCGAAAAACAAAGGAGTCAAAATAACCCCCCCTGGTTATGATTCGGGACTGTAGAGGCCACACTCATCTTCCCTGCATTCGTGGGGGGAGCTCCCAGTGGGAGGGAGTGGGGGGCAGAGGTGGGACAACAGGGATTTGACTCATCACCCCCCAGCCAAGGCCTGGGGCACCCGGAGACCATCAGCAGCTCTGGCTGCCAAGAATGGTCCGGTCTGGTGGGGACGGAAGGCAGGGATCCAAGAAACCACAGTGCAGGGCCTCAAGAGTGACTCCTGGCCGCTGGGATCCTGATGGAGAGCCCATTTGCAGCAGGGTAAGGGCCCCCACCCCACCCCCAAAGGCAGTCCAGAGGAAGTGGGGCCTAACAAAGAGGGTGGACGGAGCGGGGTCTCTGGGGGCATTGCCACGGGAGGCTGGACACCCACAATCCTGTCTTTGAGGGAAATGAGCTCCTCTTCCTCTTTCTTCCTGTTCTCAAAGTGAGCCTCGATCAGCGTCTGTAGCTCATTCAGATCCTTCTCCATGCGCTTCCGGTGGATATCCTGCGAAGGCACATCCAGGCTCAGAGGCTGCCAGGCCCATGGGTCCAGGGAAGAAGTGGTTGGGTAGATGCCACCCTCCGCAATGCAGGAGGGACGGGCAGGGCGGGGGCCTGGCTGGGGAAGGGGCCACCGTGGCCCAAACCCAGGACGAGGCCCTGCCAGGCCTGTGCCGAGCACCATCCTGCCTGCGCCCTCCGCCTGCCGGCCCCCCAGCTCACACGGCCTCTCTCTCCCAGCCCAGGCCTGTTCCCCCCACAGGCACACTCACATCAAAGTCTACTCTCTCCCCATCGGGGATCTTGGGTGGCACCAGGTTGGGCATGAATGGCCTGTTGGAGAGAAGAGGAGGGAATCCATGAATGCCAACCCCATCCCGGACCCAAGGGGCTCTGGGTGGCCAGCACAGGAGGGGCCCTTCTCCTTCCTGCAGACACTCGGCCGGGCGGCAACAATGACAGCTCCCCGCCAACGACAGCACCTCTCGGCACGTGGGCACACTGCAGCCCTTTCACGTGCGCCCTCTCGTTTTATCCCCCTGATACACCCCTGGCGCAGAGACCCCCCCAATCTCACTGAAGAAAACGGAGGCTCAGGGACCATGCAACGGACCGCTCCAGGACCAGGACCAGGACGGTCGCTCCGGACCATGCAACGAGGACGTCACAGAAGCTATGGCGTGTGAGTCCGACTCCGAATTCCCACGGCTGGCCCGTGAACCCCTGGCATCCTGGGGTTTGGCCCCCGCCCCAACACATACTTGCTGTGTGACACCAGGTCCAGTAGGCTCCTCAGTTTCCCCATTTGCCCTCAGGTCTGTGAGGGGCCAAAATGAGATACTACCATCCGTACAAGTGGCCGGGAAAGGGAAAGGTGCGGGACAAATGAACGGGGCTGGGATTGTCTCTGGGGCTGGTGTTGGGGTGGGGGCGGTCCCAACTTGGGGAGCAGCCTGCGACTGTGCTGAGGCGGCATCTGTGACAGGTTTGGTGTCACCGAAAGGGAGAGCCTCCCTGGCCCCCTCTCCACCTGACACCCACCCCGGCAGCTTCCAGGTGGTTTCATTTTGCGGCACCAGGCCGTCCTGCCCCGCCTCTTTGTGACACTTTGAAGCCAGCCAGGCTGGCACGCTGTCACTGCTTGGCTCCTCCAGATTTCCGTCCCTCTTCCTTCAGGTCCCGCTTCAGCCGTGCCGTGAGACAGGAGAGGCTATCCATCCAGGGCCACAACTAGTCCACCCCTTCACCTCTGGGTGAACACAGTGCTTTCCATGCCAGGGTACACAATTGGTAATGGAGCGTGAGGTGGATTGCAGCCCCCCCTCTCCCTTGGGCCGACTCTTGTGCAGTACACAACCTGTACAACCATACAGGTGCCTGCTGCACCCCCGGCCCATGCCCACTGTATCACACTGCACTCCTGTCCTTCCTCACTGGGCTTCTCCTCCCAGGGCTTCACCACAAGTGTGTCCCGCTCACCTGGGCTTTGGTTTGGACTCCTCCACTGGGCCATCTGGGGAGGAGAGAAGCACACAGCCACAGGGTCAGAAGGCCCCAGATCTGGTCCCAGCTCTGCCCCTGAAAAGCTGGGCACCCAAGTGCCTCTGTTTCTCCATCTGCACAATGAGTTCCTTCCAGCCCTGGGGATCCCCGGTTCCAGGAGCGTCACGAAGAATTAAAGCAGCAGAGCCACAGACCCCACACTCCTTCTCCCATAGTGGCTCCCAGGGGGTCATCTCAGGGGACAGCTGGGTCCTGACAGGAAGAACACCCTCCCAGAGTGAAACTCGAAAGCCTTCTCTCATTCACCGGTTCTGGGCACTGTCCCGGGGGGATCCTGGCCCCAGAGTCCCCTCCGAGGCCCTGCCTACTTGGTTGCTCCCTGGACTTCCTGGCCTCCAGGGGACCATGCCAGGGGGCATGATTTCAAGACCCAGCTGGCTGCCCCTCCCCTCCAGAGCCAATGCACCCTTGGTAAAGGCTGCAACATGACAATGACCACTGCAGTGACCCCCCCACATGGGCCATCTACATCTTGGGATTTCATCCTATAGACACCACACCTTATGAGTGGTTTTGCCTGAGCTCCAGGAGCCTTGTATGTGTAGGTGACTTCTGGGGCCCTGTCCAGATTGGGGACTGGACACTGGTCCCCTCTCCCACAGGGCACCACCCAGCTTCTCTGGAATGAGGGGGACAGAAGTTTGAAGGCCAAGACCCCAAACCTGCATGGTCATCAACTCTGTCCTCTCCCCCCATGAACCCCTCCTCGCCCACCTCCCTGGAGAGAGCCCTGTGGTCAGTCTCCCCTAAAGCTGCTTGGAGGGGCTCCCTCGATGCCCCAGTACCTCTCTCTTGATATCCAACAGTCCTCACCTTCAGTTTCTTTAGCCTCCTCTTCTTGTCCGTCTCCTAAACAGAACGTGAGAAATTAGCAAAGATCCTTGTTCTAGACCCAAGTCCCCCCCTTCCAGAGTCTCCCCCACAGACAGGTCCTAACCAAAGTGCACCCTGCTGGCTCCTGGGCTCAGGGGATGTCTATTCACACACATGCCCCCGGGCCCAAGGCTCTGCCTGACACGAAAGGAGCTCACAGTCAAGGTTCATTGATCGAACAACTGGGGGCTGAATCCCAGCCCAGGCAGGATGTACTGTTGCATAGGTTAGAAAGCAGGTTCCAGGTGGATTTCTCACGGTCATAGGAGTGTTTCTGGGGGCTCCTGCCACCCCCCCTCAACACCATGAGCAAGCCCCCCCCTCACCCCAGACAGGGCCTTACCTTCTACATTGGTCTCCTCAGTCTCAGCCTCACCTTCAGCCTCTTCTTCTGCTGCCTCTTCCTGCTCTGGAGAAGTGAGCCAGAAACAGTGAACACCCAGGCCCTTACTTAGGCTAGCAGGCAGAACCCAGATCAGAGAGGGGTGGGGATGGAGGTCAGCAACATCCAGGATCCAGAGGAATGTTGGAGTCACCAATATGAATGACAAGGGGCTGCTCCGTTCTTGGTTTAAACCAGAAGTTGGCAAACTATGACCCAAGGGCCAAATCTGGCCCCCAGACTGCTTCTGTAAATAAAGTTTTATTGGAACACAGCCACATCCACTCATTTGTATACTGCCTATGGCTGCCCTTGCCATATTCTAGCAAAGTTCAGTAATAACAACAGGCCCTGGTAAACCATGACAGAAGGGCATGATCAAACTTGTGGAGAGTGCTTTTGTTCTAGACTTGTCTCTCTGGGAGTTTGGGAATTGCAAGCCGGCCTTTCTGAGCATGGAGACCTGTTCTGTACGTGAAGGCCACTGGGAGGGCCAGAAGTCTGGGGTAGGAGTGTGTTAGGGTGCGGGGGGGGGGGGTGTTGTTGGTACCAGCAGAGAAGGGCTTGCAGGCCCAGAAACACATTGCTGGGGGTGGGAAGGTCTGGCGGCTAGCTGTTTCTGCCTCACTCAGCACCTTTGCCCAACAGCCTCCCTGGCAATACAACTCCACCCTGTTCCCCAACTTTCCACCCCCAATGTTCCACCCAGTGATCTGACACCACAGGATGTATCCTGCTTAAGATGAGGTGTTGGGGAAGCTCCTGTCCTCGACTCGGTAACTCTAGGGACCCTTCATCTGTATCCCAAAGAAACCCAAACAGCAAGACAGCGGGAGGGCAGATGAGGTGCCCACTGTGTAGACATTTGTACTGCCCAGAGAGTTGGTAGGATTCTTCTATTTTCATCCCTTTGCTTGGCAGGATATGGACCCCACCCAAGTCAGGCACTTGGAGTAGACAGATCAGACAGGATGACGCCAGGCTCATGGCTCTGCCCGTAGGAGGCATCTGGTCATGCTCACTGGCTGATGGGCTGACAAGTGTGGCCTCCTGGCAGAGGGAGAGGAGAAAGCCTCAGGAAGGGACAGAGAGAGGCCATCAGGAAAGAAATGTTGGCCCCCAGTCACTCTGTTCTCTGTCTTCTTTTCCTAGTCTGGGCCCGGGGATGCCTCTTCTTTGATCCCCACAGGAGCCTTACCTCAAAGAAGATCCTTCCAGAAGGGGCAAGAATAGAAGGCTGGCCAGCAAGAGTATGACCAGGTGTGGGGTCCTCTTCAGGCCATCTTGTTAACCCCTGTCCCCACCCCATCTAATGTGTCAATTCTCTGTAGAATACCCCCTGCCCATGCAACACGCTCAATGAGGCACTCCCGGCCTCCTCACTACATCTTGAGACATCACTATTAGAAAGTTCTTTCTCAACTTCAGCCCAAGTCTGTCTCCCTTGCCCTAGTCCCACCCCTAGGGGCTAGAAACAAGTCCCGGCCCCCCACCCCCACCCCACAGCAGTGCACATTTGAAGCCTGACGTCATGTCCTTTCTGCCCTGGCTATTTCCAGTTCCCCCAGCTGCTCTTCAGATCGCTCTGTCGCCAGGTCCCTCACACCCTGGCCACCCTGCCTGGGTCCTGTCCACTTCAGAGGGAGGGCCCAGCATCAGCAGCGGGGGCAGAGAAAGGCCACTCATTCCAGACATTAGTCGCCTTCTGTGGCCACATTCGGAGCAGGCCAGGGGACAAGCCAGCCTGGGTTCTTCCCACCGCCCAGCCCAGGAGAAAGATCAGAAACCAGGGGAAAGGAGCAGCGGCCTGGCCCTTGTGAGGCTGAGAGGAGGTGACTGACCCACTCCACACCTATCCCTCCCTCCGCCCGGCCCGCCCCACTCTGCCACAGAACAGGGCCCGTCCACGGCAGCCAGGCTCAGGACAGCAGGGAGCAGAAAGCACAGCAAAGTAAAAGCTGTACTACCGTCTTCGTCCTGTCTCCAGTCCTCCTCTTCTGAGGGTCAGGGAGTGGCCGCGGCAAAGGGGAGAAGCGAGACAGGTTAGTCTGGGAGCAGAAGGACGGGGACAGGAGCAGGGAGACAGCGCACGGTTCTGAGCATGGGCTTTGGAATTAAGCTCCGGTTCCAAGTCCTGAATCACTACTTCTAGCAACTGAGGCAAATCGCTTCCCAGGCGCCTTGTCAGTATAATGGAAAGAATGATCCTCAGGTCTCCGCCGTGATCTAGCAGGCATAGAGCACTCAGTGGGAAGGCCCTCAGTAAATGATGGTATCGGGCCATCTCCTCCCTCTCTAGACACGAGGACAGAGGTCCCGAAGAGCAGAGAGTGGGAACAATTCCCGGCTGTCAAACTTCTCCCGTGTTCCTACCCTGAATGAGCCCCTCAGGTATCCCACAAAACATCTCCAATTTCCAGGACTCACGGTTCTGAGAGCCCCAGTGGAGAGCCTGGCACAGGGCAGTTTTGTTGGTGTCTTTCAAGGAAGCAGCCCCATCTAAGGAAGGCACAGCATTATCACACTGAGGAAACAGACCAGCCCATGGTATGCAAACACCTGCCCAAAGAAACAGCTCACAACAGAATGCACCCTTTCTCTACTGGAAGAAGAGACAGGGCATCGTCCATTCTGCAGGCTGAGTGGTCATCCATGTAGACCTTGCTCTTTCTTGGTCATGTATAGCCAGGGACTTAGCTATGAGGGAGGCGGGTAGAGTCCCTTCGAGCAAGGTGATACGTGGAGCTCAGTCCACCATCACAGTGCAGAACCGTTTTGCTAATTCACAGCCAAATCCCACTGTGTGTAGCAGGCAGATGAGCCCCAGATTCAAAGGTCTGTATCTCAAATATCGCCCCCTAAAATTCACAAGCTGGCCAAGCCTCCAAAGCAAAGGAAAACCTACCACATCGAGAGTTTATGCGGGTCACGCAGCAGAAAAGTGGAGCCAGCTAGATTTTTTAAATTCACAACATAGTTCAAATAGCTTCTAAAGTATCTGGTGTTCCTGGAAAACCAAAGCGACTCCCATGGCCCCTCTCGGTTTCCCCTGTGAGTTTCTCATGTGTCTACTCTTTGGCCAGGCACCCTGGAACAGCCTTAAATGAGAGTTGAGAGAATTTGCTGAGCCTCTAAGGGGCAGGATGCAAGCTGCCAGGCCTGCAGAAGCCTGAGGGGTCTGAGGGCTCCTCTGGGCCACTTGGGGAGTGAGGCCTCGTAATCACATCGGTGTGTCAAGCACTCAGGAAGGCAGAAAGGTTAGGGTGTTCTCGCGTGAGATATGAGGCACAAAGCTGAGGAGAAATGTGAGAACAGATCAGAGTAGGAATGGGTCTATGGGTCAGAAGGGACTTTCCAAGGTGTAATGATGTCTTCGTGTTTAAATAAAATGTTTCAGATAACGGAACAGTTCTATAATCTCATTTTGAAAAATTACTAAATTGAATGCATTTAGGTGTGATAATGGTGCAATGGTTACGTCTTCTTTTTTTAAGTAGCGCTTATCTTTTAGCGCTTAAGTACCTACTGAGCTATTTAAGCATGAAATATATGATGTCTGGGGATGATTTGTGATGTCTGCTCTAAAATAACTGAGGGGAAGGGTGCCTGTGCGGCTCCCTGGGTTAAGCGGTTAACGGACTTTTG